ACTCTATCATATGCATTGCTCAAATCGATCTGCAGAACACATTTTAGGCCGAACTGAGTTCCTATGGCAAAGACACATAAGTTCGTTTGCCATGAGATTAATATCGGTAATAAGCCTACCTTTAAAAAATGCAGCCTACCTAGGGTCGATAAAATCTGCAAGAACAACTCGAAATGCATGTAGCACAAGTACATGCAACATAAGAACAATATCAGGTAATAGTATGGAGTTAGTGGATACAATGAGGCGAATGAGAGTTAATATAGCTTGTTTACGGTAAACTAAGTGGAAAGGGCAAAAGCAACTGAAAGTGATGGATACAAACATTTTTATATAGGAAAGGATAACACTAGAAATGGCACTGGTCTAATGGTAAACAAAGATTATAAAGGATAAAGCAGTAGAGATGTTAAGAGAGTAGGTAATAGGCTCTTATTAATTAAAATTGTGTTAGGAGAGGAAATAATTAATACAATTAGTGTGTAGGCAGCACAAGCAGGATTCGATGATAGAATTAAAAGACAATTATGGGAGGCATGGATGGACTGGTCCAAGGAATACCAAACAGAAAGAAGATATTTGTAGGAGGGAACTTAAATGGTCATGCCGAAAAAAATAACAAAAGGTACATGGAGGATATGAATTTGAGGAAAGAAATGAGATGGGTGATGCTATTTATGATTTTACTATATTTTACGATCTAACAATAGCAAGCACCTACTTTTAAAAAGCGAGATGAATATTTGAAAATTATAAAAGTGGAACACACAAAGCTAATGTACATTTTTCTAGTTAACAAGACAGAACGATCATCATGCAAAGACTGTAAGGTTATCCCAGAAGAGAATTTGACCATGCAAGGTAGGCTCATAGTTATGAATGTTTACAATAAGAGATGGAAGAGAGCGAGTAACATTAATGGTATCCAGAACTTAAAAAGAGAGGTAATAGACTTATTTAGGAATAAATTTACTAAAAAAGAAAATAGAGTTCTGAGGACGAATTTAATGTTAAACGAAATAAGTTGACTTATTGTATTAAGAAAAGTGGCAAAACTTTGAAACTGTGGGAGAGAGTGAATGAGCAATGACTAAGACATGAACAAGTGTATCAAAAAATCAGTTCGGACTTATGCCAAGGAGATCAACCATCGAGGCTATTTTCCTACATTGATTGAGAAGTTTAGGGAGAAGAGTAAGGTCCTCTAAATGGTCTTCATTGATTTAGAGAAAGCTTACGATAGCGTACCTAGAGGGATAACTTGGAAGGTGCCGGAAACAAAAGGAGTCTCAAGAGGACATATTGACATTATTAGGGATATTTTCGAGGAGCACTAACTATGTGAGGACAACTAGTGGTGAGACAAGTGAATTTTCAATGATAAAAGGCCCACATCAAGGGCCAATGGTGAGCTCGTATCTCTTTCCTTTAGCTACGGACGAGTTAATTAGGTACCCACAGAATGAGGTTCTGTGATGCATATTCTTAGTGGATAACATAGTCAAAAGGATGTTGTAGAATCTAAGGGTTTTAAAATTAGCCGGACTAAGAAAGAATATATGAAAATGCAATTTTAATAATAATAGAAGCAGAATAGCCTGGTCTACTTCATGCCCCTTTACCGGATGTCTGCACAGGTGGTTAACCGCATAGAATAGCTTATGTGGAATTTCTTGTGGTCAGGACAAGCAGAAAAGATCAAATTTCAACTAGTAGCATGGAAAAATATTTGTCTACCAAGAAAGCAGGGGGGTTTAGGGATTCGGGTCCTTAGGAAACACAATACGACACTCCTAGGCAAATGGTGGTGATGCCTAGCCTCTCAGCCAAACTCTCTTTGGGCTCAGGTTTTACGGTTTATATACAGGATCCCGGAAGGAACCTGGGTGCCAAAAAGGATCCAGAGGCATAGAGCTTCAGGAGCTAGGAAATCCTTTGCCACTTCTCTTTCACAGTTCAGAAGATTCATAAGATTTCACTCTAAAGAAGGAGATAGGGTGAGTTTCTGGTCAGATTTATGGCTAGGAAACTCTCCACTGCATCATGCCTTCCCAACCCTATATTCTCTTGCCTCTAACAAAAACTCCTCTATTGCCAAGGAAATGTTACTTTTAGGAGGCCGAAGAATCTAGAACCCATCATTTCAAAGAAACCTTACAAAAGAGGAAACCAATCAATTCCAACTACTCTCGAATGCTCTATTCTCACTCTTTATTCCAACATGGGAGAGACATAATAGTTTGGCCTCTTTCCCCCTCAAGTCTCTTCACGATAGTCTCTTTTTATAAGAGTCTCACTCAGCCCCCCACTTATCCTCTCAATCCCACCTCAGTTTTGGCAAAAGTATGGTCAACCATCGCCCCACCTAAGATTCAAACCTTCAATTGGATTGCCTGTTACCAATGAGTACTCACAGTGGACCACCTACAAAAAAGAGGGATCTCGATCCCTAGTAGATGTGCTATGTGCCTATGCGAAGAAGAATCCAACCCACACCTCTTTATTCATTGCGACTTTACCCACAAGCTATGGAGCCAAGCGTTGCAACTCTTCGGTATTCATTGGGTCACACCCCACACTGTCAGGGGCCTGATATCTTATGAATTGGAGTCACATTGGCCATTGGCTGGAAGAACTTTATGGACAATAAGGGTAGAAAAGAATAACAGAATTTGTGATGGACTTAAAATCCACCTACCAGCTCTATTACACAGGGTAGTTTCGCTGGCCTCCTTTTGGCCGCTAATCACAAGGTCTTCTCAGGAGTATCAAGGAACTTTTTCCTTTACCAATGGAAAAATATCCTCAACCACAGGCCACCAAAAGTTTAAAGAGCTAACAATTGGCAACCACTACCAAGAGGTAGCATCCTCCTTACCTATTCTGAGTATCTTGGCAGCAATGATTCTTAATACGAAGAAGCTATGGCTCTCTTATTGGGTCTCAAAACGTTCAACCCATCTTGGGGCACACCTGATTGTGGAAGGAGATTCTTAAAACACTCTGGAAGGAGATTCTTCAAACACTCTTTCATGGGCAAGTGGTCTGACCTCTCCCCCATGGCAACTAACTACAATTTTTTATGAAATTACTCACATTTGCAGGGATATGAATGTCTCCTGGAAGCATACATGGAGGACATCCAACGAGCTCGCAGATCTCATGGCAAAGGAGGGAGCTAGATTCCAAGTGGAAGAACAGGCCAGGTCATACTCCTTTTTTGTTCAGGACCACAGCCGCACTACGTAGCCTCCCTCGACGAGGGCACTCCTAAGCGTTAATCATATTTTTTCAAAAACCATTGTAAATCATTGTATCTGGGTGGGACTTATAAGCTATTTTTGTACATGAGTGACTGATATATTTCTTACCAAAAACCACTCTTAGTAGGTGCTCTCGGTCTCTCCCACTTCTATAATTATTACTGTCTTAGCAATACAATGTTAACAGTTCTCAAGAAAATAATAATAATAGAAGCAGAAACAACAAATTAGTTAATAATGATGGCCAAAAAGTACCTATAAGCGATTATTTTTAATATATTGGGTCGATAATCCATGAGAAAGGAGATATAGGAAGACGTTGCTCATAAATTTTGAGTTGGATGGAATCGATGGATGAAGTAGAAATGTGGCTCTGGAGTCTTATGTAATTGTCGCATTACCAATAAAACTGAAAGCAAAGTTCTACAAGACTGTTGTAAGACAAACCATGCTTTATGGGACGCAATGTTAGAGTGTCAAGAAACAATATATTCCATAGAATGAGAGCAGATGAGATGAGGATGTTGAGATGGATGAATGGCAAGACAAAGAATGGTAGAATTCATAATGAAAACATCAGAGAAAACTTAGGGGTAGCTCCAATAGGTGATAAAATGAAGGAAAGTCGACTTAGGTGGTAAGGTCATGTGCAGCTTCACCCTAGAACACAGGTTAAGAGGGGTGATTTGGTTCAAGTGAAGGGTTCTAAAAGGCAAAGGGAAGGCCAAAAAGGACATGGATTGCAGTAGTGAAAAAAGATATAGTGACTTATGGTTTAACTAAGAGCATAACCCTTGATAGAGCAGAATAGCGCAATAGGATTTATGTAGCTGACCCCAAATAGTTGGTATAAGGCTCAGACAATGATGATGCACCACAAATACTACATATGTTACAATGTTTACAAACAACAATTCATTGTGCACAAATAGTTCCCTTTGCCATAACCAGTTTCATGTAGACAATTGTAGAAGTATGGGTTTAGTGGATCAAATAAAATCTTACAGAGAATATTTCCATAGAACAAAAGAACAACAGTAGATTCATGGTTGGAAGAATTGCAAGAATAGTAGAGGGAGAGTAACAAGAGTTAAATCACCATTTTTATGTAATAATTTGCACCACAAGTTTTTTTCATTTTTCCACATCTAATCTTTATTTTCATTTTTTTATAATTATATCTAAATGTTCCTTGTGCTCTTGAAATATGTGAACCAGAGTCCAGATATCAATATAGTTGTCATAAATTATGGTTCCCACTATTCCAAAAATGTGCTTGCTATTCATAATACAAAGAAGCTCATGAACAAACTCTGAAGTCCATCAATCTCAAATAAATATCCACAATAATGCTAATTACTAAAATATTCAATCAAATATTCACAATGCTCTGATTGCCACTCACAAATATGTTCTGAATTCTAAAGATTCTTATGGGTTATCATTGGGAATTCATCTAACACCAACTAACAATGAAATGGCAATTCAGTCAAAATGAAATTGCAATTCCAACCAAAACCAATATTTCAAAATTGGGGTGCGAGTCTCCATAAGACACTCCTACAATTAACCGCAGACACAAGTCCAAGAAAGACAACTGAAACCAGCCACAGAAACAAGGAAGCAGTTTGCAAAGGTGAAGTAGCACAAGATCAAGTAACTAAAATAACTAGCAGTGACCAACATTATTCAATCAGGCATGCCCCACTAACAAGATTAAAGGATATACTGGAGTACCTTCAACACAAGAGGCACCCACATCATCCAAATCTCTTCGTGCATCAAACTTGAGGTCAGAACCAACGGAGATCCATCTAAGCAAGAAAAATCCCAATGACAAACAAGTTAAAACTTCAAATAATCAACACACGTATATATTTATTATAAATGAAGTGAGAAGGGTGGGCCTTTTAATCACGTATGTATTTAATATAAATGAAGTGAGAAGGGTGGGCCCTTTAATTCTTACGACAAGTGTCATTTTCAATACCAATTTTGTTTTCTTAATTTTCAAGTAATACTATTGTAGTCTTTTTGTCCATCTATCTATTTTTCCTTATAAACCATTATATCTTTATCTTTAAAAAATTAATAGGATATTTAGATTTCAATTTATACTTTTTCTAGAGAAATAAAAAGAAAAAGAGAGAGTACCTGGTATAAAGATGAGCGACAGAGCTTTTAGGACAAGTGTACGGTGAGAGTTACATGGAGAGCTTTTAGGACATACATATGGAGGGGCGTATATATGGATGGAGGTACAAACATTGAGATAAATATGAGAAAGAGAGAGAGAGAGAGAGAGAGAGAGATTTATCTTTAATTTTTAATCTTTGAACTTTAATAGGTCATTTATATTTTAATCTATGCCTTTTCATAACTAGAGAGATATAGAGGGCACTTGGAGATGAATATGAGAGAGAGCTAGTCGACATATATATCGAAAGAGGCACATGGAGATAAAGATGAGAGAAAAATATGTAAGAGAGCTTTCGAAATAGCCATGAATTTTAACACTATTTTCCGAAGGTCCAAATATATTTATGAATCTAGAAAAAAATATGAAGAAGGCGATCTCTTTTTTCTTGCGACAACTGTCCCTCTTAATACTATTTTTGTCTTCAATTTTAATTAATACTTGTTAGTTATTTTGCATATTTATTTATTTTTTTCTTTATATTGAATGGTCATATCATTATATAATTATATTTCAATTTGTACCTTTTCAAAGCTATAGATTTATAGTGAAAGAGATCATATACTTGGTTATAATGATTAGAAGAGAGAGAACTTTTAGGACATACGGAGAGGCCCGTTGAGAGGTTTTAGGACATATATGGAGAGAGGCACGTTGAGATAAATATGAAAGAGACAGATAAATTTATCTTTAAATTTTAATAGGAAATTATATTTCAATTATACCTTTTCAGAGCTAGAGAGATATAGAGAAAGTGTATTTCAAGATCAAGATGAGAGAGAGCTTGTAGAACACATATATATGGAGAGTCAAGTGGAGATAAAAATAAGAGATAATCACAATCAATGTTGAAAAATACAGATTTGACCGCCTAGGCAGCCAGGGGTGCTGGCCGACTAGACGGGCTTCTAGTTCATTAGGCGGCCTGTTTAGGAAAATTAAGGGTCTAAGCCCCAAGGAAGTTGTCTAGTGGGGTTTGGTTGCCTCAAAATTATCTTAGAAACGATAGTTTTTTAAAAATACTAGTAAAACACATTATCTAAGTCCCTTATACCATATTTCATAAATATATAAAATATGAACTTGCCATTGAATTGCTTAATCTAAAAGTCAAATAAAAATATAAAAAAATATATATAAAAGAGAAAGATGCCCAATAGGCTGTTACCCATTTCCTAAAATCAGCATTCCACAATATCAATTCATTATAGCCAAGTGAAATAAAGAAAAAGAAAAAAAGTCCAACTCCATACTCCCAACATTATATCAGATGTGATCATGATGAACTTAGATTGGTAATTGAGTTTCATCATAACTACCAATAATGCCTCGCTGCCCACCACCAGCGCCACCAAAGCCACCATCTGATGATGACAATGCTATGCCATCATCATCAAAGGGTTTAGGGTCACAATGCCCCCTGAACCCCTTTCCCCCCTCTGTGGGGGGGAAATGACATTTTTTGCCCTCAACGGAGGGCATATTTCCGCCATCTCACTAAAGGGCACTAGGCACTGCCTAGGTGCCCACCTAGAGGCAGCCCCTAGACGCCAAACGCCTAGCCACCCTGCCTAGGCCCTTATGGGGGCAGGAAAGGCCTTTGCCCGCCTAGGCGGCCAGGCAGCCGAATTTTTTAACACTGATCACAATTAAGGAATATTTTCTAAAGATCCAAATATATATAAATTAGAAAATATATGAAGAGACAAAAGCCAAAGGAGACTAAGAGAGATAAAGATACAATGAGAGAAAAATAGCAAGTTTGGATATATAGAGAGTACATGGACACGATGATGAGAAAGAGAGCTTTTAGGGCTTATATATGGAGAAAGGCACATGAAGATACAGATGAGAGATTTATATAAATGGAGATTTAGGAAAAGCGATTCATAAAAAGGGGAGAAATGGAAGGGCCCTATATAAAGGGTGGGATGTGCCTGTATTTCTCTCTCTAGGTTGCATTAAAAATAGGTACATTTTTCGCTATTTTGACTCTTTTTGGCTACATTTGATGCATATTTCAATGAAGTTCAATGGTGGTATGGTTTCTTTGTTAGAAATTTGGATTTGGATTTTTTGGTGATTGCCTTCTAGGTTGCCTCTCTCTTCAACTCTCTTCATATTGATTACTTAGTTATGTGCATATTACTAGAATATCAATCCTACGGTCTAAAATCTTTGGGTCAATAGGTCTTCCTATCTAACCTCAATTTCTACAATTTATATTAAATACATTTTAATATAATCATACCAAATATCGATACAAAATATGCATTGTACAATATACATTATAGCACTATAGAAGTTATTGTTGGACTTTTCAGATAATGAAGACTATATTACATAATACGATTATGATAATAATATTTTAGAGATATTCCTCCAATAACATATTTTGGTATATTATAACGTTTCAAGAATAATTTCATTAATGTGATAATTAATGTTGCTAGTGGTTTATCGTATTATTTTGTATAACATTTCTAGCAATATCTTATGTATAACCTTTTAGTGGGGCCTGCGAAGTGTGTGCATGTTAGTAGTTTATATAATGCTTTTGCACAACAATATGAAAATACATGCTTTTCTGAAACAATAAAAGACAAACTTGATGTCTCAAAGTAATGTTATACACAAGATGCAAATTTCTTTAAGAAATTATTTAGTACATGCATGGGATAACAAAAAGAATATGCTTTCCAATGTGAAACATACAGTGCCTTATGTCTTCCAAGATGCCAATTTTCCCATATGAGCCCGGCAATAGTCCGACCTTTACCTACACCAGCCCCATCACCCATGAAGAATCCTGCTCTCGTATCATTTAAGAGGTGATGAAGATGCCTCTGATATACAAATATTAACATATAAGTATTGAAAACATGATAACAAAGACATTGCATAGAAATGCATAAATATCATGTAGACAAATTCTTTTTTACAGATCACTATTTTTACTGATTGCACTCTCATTTCAATAGGAGGTCTTCAAAAATATTTCCATCAACCTGACAGGCATAGACTATTGTCTCAATCTGTAAACAGGATAATGCTTTTGATTTCTCGATTTCGTCCTTGAGTCTTAGGTCGTAACTTGGTTCTGGAGGCTGCACTGCTGCCAAGGAAGAAGTTTCCACTACTGCATCTGGATGAGGGCCGCCTATAGATATTTTGGAAGGTCTCTGCAGAAAATGAGAGAAAATAACAATTACAATCATGAGAATCCCACTACCAAAAGGCCCACCCGTTCCCTTACCATCTCCATACATTGCCTTAAAACGAGAAAATAAATTTACAACAAACTGGAAGGGGCCAAGTGTTGAAACTTGAGAATCTTACATAGTCAGTAAATGTCTCTCCAACCATCCCACCTTCATCTTCTTCTCTTTCAACATCCACAGCCACCTGAAAGAGGGAAAACCCAAAAGTATCTAATTAATTGGCAAGAAGTTATATTTTTCTCCAATTAACTGTATATAAAATAAAGGTGAATGTGAAGTGTAGCCACACATTCATACCTCATATTAAAATAGCGATCAAAGAAAACCAAATAGCCATAGAATAAAAGGAGACAAAACATTTAAAACAAAAATTTGCAACGTGCCACACTGATACGATAGTCACAAGCAATTAGATGGCACTATAATGTGATCAATGTCATCTTCCCTTTCCTCCCAGTGGAGTCTAGTTCCAAAGGCGTAACTTGACTGAAACTATTGGTTCTCGTACACACTGCCAGTTTTACGGACAAAGGAGCCTGCACCCAGCAGTGACTCGCTAAGATTGAGTTAGCGTCCCATGAAACGCCATTTCGCTTCCAAAGATTTTGAACCACTAATGTCACAACCTATTAACAGTACTCTTATGCCACATCCTACATAAAATTCTTTTTTACAGAATAGAACTTACGTGAGATTCTCGTTTCATCAAATAGCATAATGCAAATATTGGAGCATGTAATTATCGTATAGCACTGTGAAAATCAGCTAAGTTGATAATCAACAGGTACAATCCCAAAGGACTTTCACATTTTAATATGAAATATTCATGATGATGTTAAAGAGGAACTGGGAAATTGCTTAAGATATCCACAAAATGATCAATTCATTCTGATGAACAAGATACCCACAAAATGATCAATTCATTCTTTGATGAACAAGATACCCACAAAATGATGGCATTCAAGAATATTCTAGGAATTGAAAAAGAGAGGGCATGGAATAGTCAGTTTGGCCAGTCCAAGAAGTCATAGAACCCACTTTTGAAGCACCTGTGTAAAGAAGGTTTTAGGGGTGTAAAGAGAATTGGATAAGGTAAGATTGTCGATTCTTCACAAGTTCAATGATATTGGCGAGGTGTCACAACTTGAAATACCTATCCTCACTGAATTTTGGCAGGTCATGTATGATAAAGGAGAACTCCCATATGTGATTTGTGGGTTACAGGGGAATATGCCCAACTAACTGCCTCCAGCGCCACACCTTGATGATCTGCCAGTTTTGTTTATACATCCAGAAAAATCAATAATGCATTTGCATTGCATCTATGAAGACCAATATCGACGACGATATATTAGGGAGTATAGACTCTGGGAATTTTATTTCCACAATAGTGGTGTTTGTCATGTCCTTTCTTCCCTTGTACAAGTGGTTTCTTCCAATGGAACTAAAAAAGGAAAAACTTCGACTGCCTGAATCCTTCTTTCAGTGAGTTCTATAAAATTAGTGAAATGTTACAAATTTTCTATTCTTCTAACATGACATGCATTTGTTTATCAAACGTTAGTTGTCCTTTTCTTTCTTTTCGTCTTTTTTTTTTCCTTTCTTTTTGTCTGTGTGTGTGTGTGTAAATAATGCCTAATGCAAGCTTTTGTGAGACGGGCATCTATTCGCATAACCCAAAAATCCAAGCAACTATAATAAGTTATTGACTTGTCTATTTAGAATGAGGCCAAGCAGGTTTGAGCTCTGAATTGAGCAGCTTGTCTTTACACACCCGAAAATCAATCCTTTGGCAGTAAAGATTTGAAGTGGCCGTTAACTAATCTTATCTTGTGGGATACTTTTAGAGGCCGTATACATATAACCTGAACAATTCAGTGTGAAACATTGATGTCTATTCTCTTTTCTAAGTTACAACAAATGCTATTAATAACTAATTTGGTTGGAGAAATAATAGCTCATAATATTACAATTATTGGCAGAGCAAGCAGACCAAGAAAGTCTGCTGCCAATCATTCTATTTTCCTCTCCATAAACATCCTATGAGTCATATGTGCAAGCATATGCATCATGTCTGTGATGTTTTTGTGTGAGAGTGTATGTCCCGCTGCCTTATATCAGTATCCGCGAGTACAGGCGCCCATGAGTGATTTCTACTGCTGCATGGAAGTCTTGAACCGCCATTTCCATGTCTGACTTGTTAGATAAGCTCCTAAAGCATTTGTGAGAGATCGCATAAAAGAAGAGGCGGAATTCTGTCAGCAAAATTTTAGGATGCCTTTGAGGTGTTAAAATTAAAGGAGAGAAGAAAACAGTTTGGTAGAATCTATAGAGAGAAAAGATAGGAAAGAAAATAAATATGATGATGAAGAAGAAGAAGAAAGGGAGTGAGATAGAGAGGGAAAGTGAGTGGCATTGAGGTCACTTGTGACCGCTACCCCTCTTATACATTAAGCAATAACCCTAATTACAACTTTGGATAATACTGCCCCTATTTAGAGATATAAGACCAATAAGGACTAAACAAAAGATAAATTACAGTTCTGTCCATCAAATACAATAAAGCTTATTCCAACACACCCCTCGAACGAGTGCATAGTTATCAATCACATCCAGCTTGCTTATGATATCATGTAATTTGTCCCATACAACGCCCATGGCGAAGATACCTGTAAGTTGAGCTTAAGATTTCACATGAGGAGTCTAAATGATCTTGGCAGCAACCTTCTCTTTGATAAAGTGACAATCTAATTCAATGTGTTTAGTCCTTTCATGAAAACAGGATTTTCCGCAATATGAATGGTTGCTTCGTTGTCATAATATAGTCATGGGAAGCTTAACTCTAATACCCAAATAAAATAGAACATTTTTTATTTACATTACTTCGCATGTACCATGAGCCATTGCTTTGTATTCTGCTTCAGCGCTTGATCTTGCCACCTCATTTTGCTTCTTGCTTTTCCAATTAACCAGGTTTCCCAAAACGAAGTTATAATAGCCAGTTGTTGATCTTTTATCAATTTGGCATCCAACCCAATCAGCATATGTGTAAGCTGCAACGTCAGGACGTCTTTGATTTGAGAAACATATCCCTTCCCCTAATGCAAACTTGAAGTATCTTAATATTCTATACACAGATTCGAGGTGGGTTGGACATGGTGCATGCATAAATTGGCCGACCGCACTAACAGCAATAAGAAATGTTTGATCGAGTGATTGTGAGCTATATAATCTTGCCCACTATTCGTTGATACCGATTAGGATCTTTGAGTCGCTCTCCCCTTTCTTCCTGAAGTTTATGAGTGACTTTTATAAGAGCATCTACAGAAGCATCTACAGGTCTAGATCTCAACATCCTTGGTTTTTGTAACAAGTTCAACACATATTTTCTCTAAGAGATGACCATCCCTTTCTTTGATCTCACCACTTCAATTCCCAAAATATACTTAAGGGGTCGAAAATCTTTGATATCAAACACATTGCTTAAATAAGATTTAAGATCCTCAATGCCCTTCACATTATTCCTATCACAATAATATCATAAACATACACAACAAGGGCAGTAATTCCAACAATATCCTTCTTCACAAATAGTGTATGATCAACTTGACTTCTTTTGAACCCAAATTTCAGTAAAGCCTCACTAAATTTTTTAAACCATGCTCTAGGGTACTGTTTAAGTCCCTAGATTGCCTACTTTAACTTGCAAACCTTTCCTGTCTCCCCCTTAATATAAAAACCATGAGGCCATTGCCTAAGTAGGAAAGAGAAGGTCGAGGGTTCGAGTCCCAACCCAGAGATCTTTTCAAAATCTGGTTCTAAGGCCATTGCCTAAGTTGAATCTGGTGGGTAACTTGAAAGCACACTTATAAGCCTTAGAAGCTCTAAACAAAGGGGTTCATGGCAACCAACCATTGTCCTCTAGACCATACTTAGCACAAATACTTTCCTTCCAGAGGAGGGGATGGGGGGAACTTCACCACCATTTACCCAAAAGGGTAGAGTGCATGGTTTTGAGCCTCTTAATACCTAAACCACCACACTTCTTAAGGGTGCAAATCTTCTCCCAAGAGACCCAAATAAAATCTATGGTCATTTGTGGTGCCACTCCAAATGAAGTTCTTCATAAGTTTTTCAAGGCGTTGTGCCAAAGGGGAGGGAATTTGCAAGCGGGACATCTGGCAGATAGGGATATTAGACAGGGTGGCTTTAATTAGAGTGATTCTACCATAAAAGTGTGAGATATCTACCCTTCCAATTGGCAAATTTCCAAGTGAATTTCTCTAAGATATTGTCCCAAAGATGCTTCCTGGGTTTTCCTAGATAGAGGGGAAGGTCTAAATATTTAGAAGGGAGAGAATCTGTGGCACAACCAAGATGTTATGCAAGGGACAAAGTATCAGCCTCAGAAACCCTAACTCCCAACATCTTTTTTGTTTTGATAAAAGTTAATTGTATTGCTATAAAAGGAGATATACAGAGGTGTTTAAACAGAGAATCCCTCTTCAGTGGGAATCTCCAAAAAATTGTCCAGCAACCCTATACAAAATTGGTTAGATGGACTGCCCTAGGTGATACAAGATATACAATGAGTATACAAAAAATTGGCTAATAGTATTGCCCATTTACACAGAGCCTATGTGATGCAAGTCAAAAAATAGTTGGTCGAGTACTATTGCTCCCTGGTCCCTCCATGGTCCGGGTCGAAGACGTCATGTGACTCGGCGAGTTCTTCAGTGTGAGCCCTAGCCCCGTCCTTTGCTAGAAGATCAGCTAAGCCGTTTGACATCCTCAAGGTATGCGTCGAAGAGGCATCCATATCCCCGCAAATATCAGTGATCTCATAAAAAATGGGAGCAAGATACCATGGGGGAGAGGATCTCCCTGATGCCCATGAAATGATATTACTAGCATCCCCTTCCACAATAAGGTTTTGCCCCCAAGACAAATTGAAGCTTTTCAAGCCCAATAGAAGGGCCTTAGCCTTAGCGTACTGAGAATCTTGAATGCCAAGGTATTTGGAAATAGTAAACAAAATTGCCCGATGATGGTCTCTGAACACTCCTCCCGCTCTAGCATGACCGGGGTTTCCCAATGAGCACCCGTCAAAGTTGAGTTTAATGATACCTAGAGGGAGAGGTTGCAAGTTCTGAGATCTTTGGGCCTTGCGAGGACGATGGAGCA